TACCCAACATTCAAAGAAGAATTAATACCAACACTTCTCAAAGTCTTCCAAAAATAGAAGAGGAGGGAATGCTTCCAAAATCATTTAATGAGGCCAGCATTACCTTGATACCAAAACCAGGCAAGTATGCCACAAGAAAAGAAAATTACAGGCCAATATCACTGATAAACATAGATGCAAAAATCCACAACAAAATATAAGCAAACCAAATTCAACAATATATTAAAAGGATCACACACCATGATCAAGCGGGATCAATTCCAGGGACGCAAGAACGGCTCAACATCTGCAAATCAATGTGATTATATCACATTAACAAAATGAAGTATAAAAACCACATAATCATCTCAATAGATCCAGGAAAAGCATTCAACAAAATTCAACATCCATTTATGATAAAAACTCTCAACAAAATGGGTATAGAGGGAATGTACCTCAACATAACCAAGGCCATATATGACAAGTCCACAGCTAACATCATACTCAGCAGTGAAAAGCTGAAAGCTTTTTGTCTAAGATCAGGAACAAGACAAGGATACCCATTCTCACCACTCTTATTCAACATAATACTGAAATGCCTAGCAAGAGCAATTAGTCAATAAAAAAGAAATAAAAGGCATTCAAATTGGAAAGGAAGAAGTAAAACTGTCACTATTTACAGATGATATTATATATAGAAAACCCAAAAGACTCCACCAAAAAATCTTAGAGTAAATGAGTTCAGTAAATTTGCAGGATACAAAGTTAGTATACAAAAATCTGTGTTTCTATACACTAACAATGAACTACCAGAAACAGAAATTAAGAAAACAATCTCATTTACAATTGCATCAAAAAGAAAAATATCTAGAAATAAATTTAACCAAGGAGGTAAAAACCTGAACACTAAAAACTGTAAGACATTAATGAAAGAAAGTGAAGAGAACACAAATAAATGGAAAGATATTCCATGCTCATGAACTGGAAAAGTTAATATTGTTAAAATGTCCATACTACCCAAAGCAATCTACAGATTCAATGTAATTCCTATCAAAATTCCAATGGCATTTTTCAAAGAAATAAAATAAACAATCCTAAATTTATGTGAAACCACAAAACACCCCAAATAGCCAAAGCAATCTTGAGAAAGAACAACGAAGCTGGAGGTATCATGCTCCCTGATTTCAAACTACATTACAAAACTATTATAATCAAAACATTGTAGTATGGCATAAAAGCAGACACACATATCAATGAAACAGAATAGAGAGCCCAGAGATAAACCCACACATATTTCATCAATTAATTTGACAAAGGAGCCAAGAATATTTAATGAAGAAACAACAGTCACTTCAATGCACGGTGTTGGGAAAACTGGACAGCCACATGCAAAAGAATGAAACTGGACCACTATCTTACATCATATACAAAAATTAACTCAAAATATATTGAGTTTTGAAATATATTTCAAATCATAAAAAACAGAGGCAGTAAGCTCTTTAACATTGGTCTTGACAATAACTTTTTAGATTTCACACCAAGAGCAAAGACAAGAGCAAAAATAAACAAGTGGGACTATATCAAACTAAAAAATTTTTGCACAGCAAAGAAATCCATAAACAAAATGGAAAGGCAACTTACTGAACGGGAGAAAATATTTGCAAATCATACACCTGGTAAGGGGTTAATATCCAAAATACATATAAAGAACCCATACAAACTCAGTAGTGAAAAACAAACAATCCAATATAAGGGCACTAATCTCATTCATGAAGGCTCTACTCTCATGACCTAATCACCTTTCAAAGGCCTCACCTCCTAAATATCACCTTGGGCACTAGTTTTCAACTTAAGAATTTTGGGGGACACAAATGTTCAGAACACAGCAGAAGGGGAATAAGACTCCACCTTTTGGGCTTCCCTGGTGGCACAGTGGTTAAGAATCTGCCTGCCAATGTAGGGGACACGGGTTCGAGCCCTGGTCTGGGAAGATCCCACATGCCGCGGAGCAACCAAGCCCGTGAGGCACAACTACTGAGCCTGCGCGTCTAGAGCCTGTGCTCCGCAACAAGTGAAGCCACTACAATGAGAAGCCCGCGCACCGCGATGAAGAGTAGCCCCCGCTCGCCGCAACTAGAGAAAGCCTGTGCACAGAAACGAAAACCCAACACAGCCAAAAATAAATAAATAAATTTATTAAACAAAAAAAAAGACTCCACCTTTTGATGGGAACAGTGTTTGGGATGAGAAATGTTTTCCAAATATATTAGGAAAATATAATATGCCACAGAATCTATGAAGATGTAGAATCCTCCTACTCCCAGAGATCTTTCAGTTGCACGTATAATATTTTACATTTGCTCTTCCTGTTAACTTTAAACACCTTGAGGGAAACTAATACATACTGCCTACTACGCTTCAGGCAATATAATAAGCACTGAAATGTGTTTCTGCTGTATTAAGATTATTCAATTCTAATATAAAAATGGAAAGAAACTAAGTATGGGAGCAAATAGCTTGCAAGACATAAGGAGATTCATAAGACATGTTAAGTATAAATAGTAAACAAGTTATTAACCTGTGAGGCATGTTAAAGATAGAATAAACAACATAAATGTGTTGAACACAGACAAAAATAATGGAACAAATGAGAGTGTCACAGATAGAAAGGGCTGCAAGAACCAAGTAATTCTTAAACATTCATGCTTTAAGGATCATGTCACTTCCAGATTGACAACAATGTTACCGCTAAATCAACCACTAATTGGTGACATCTATTCTGGCCTCACATAAGCTTTTCCCAAGAAACACAGATAAAACTCATTGCTGCTCAGCAGGCTAATTTAGGCAAGTTACAGCTGTGACCAGGCCTACTTGCTCCTGCATCCCTCCAAAAGAGCAAGTGTATGTTGGCTCCACTGCTGAGAACCCTATGCTCATCCTCAACTCTGGCCTTTGTAACTATACCACCAGCCAGGAAGGCTGATGCAACAAAGACAGGATATATGAATACTGATTAACATTTGAATAGTATGGTCCTTCCACTCCCTCCCCTCCCCACATCCTATCTTAAATAGGTTAGCTACTCCATCTCTTTCCCCTTAATGTATGTTTTCAATTAATTTAGTAAAACATGTGATTCGAGTGACTCAATTGAGCCTTCCTGTTCCATGACCTCTAGGATGGCCTGATTACTAGTGTACTTGGAAGCTATCACTGTCATTTTCCACCCCAATAGGTGCTTTACAAGTAATATATTAGTAAATCCACACAACAATCTTATGAGGAAGGAATTGAGGAAACTGAGTCTCAGAGGCGAAGTAACTTGTCCAAAGTAGCACAGCTAATAAACAAGGGAGCTAGAATTCAGGCCCAGGATGATATGGCTCCAGGATCCACGTTCTTTTCCACTAGTCTCATTCACTTTTGCATCTTCAATACGAATATGATGCCTGACATATAGCATACTGTTCGATGACTTTAAATGGTAGAATCCTTGCTCTTAGTTTATTTGCCACATGGCCTACGATGAATTATCTAACTTAAGACTCAGTTTCCTCACAGTACTAATTTAACTATTATTTAAAGTTACTATTTGTAAAAGTTTTTACTCAGCACTTGGCCCCTAGCAGTTGCCTAAGTAAGAAAGGCTATCTCTCATCCCCCAGCTCTAGGACAGGTTTGAGAAGGAACTTTCATCGTTTTCAAAGCTTAATCTTCTACCCTGTTTTAACCACACTTCCCTCATCAGCTAATCACAGAACAGGTGCATGTTGTTGAAGGCACGACAAGGTTCCCTCAATATTCCAGCTTCAAAATACTTAAGGAAATCTCTCTTTCACCTCATTCCTAGTTTTTGGACCCAACTATTTTTTCTTTCTGTGGGCAGTTATCTTTAGATAGCTCCTCTGAGAGGCGGGGCCATCGGCAGCCCCCGAGTCTGTCCCCGCTCCACACTCTGACTTTCGGCCTTGAAAAGAGCGTTTCGCAGGGAGCCTGGAAGCCTACTGCCTTCGGGCTGGGTAACCTCAGGGGTTTATCCCAAGCCCGAGTTCCTGGTCCGTAAGCGGAGGGGCATCGCTGTCTACGGCACAGGGGCGTCGCGGGACCCCGCGGCTCGGTTCACAGGGCGGTACGGCGCCCGTCACTTGCTAAGCGCAAGTGTCACTACAAGCTTAGTTTGCTGAACCAGTATCCACAGAGCCTTCAAACCCCATCCCCGCCTTCCATCATTCGCCCCCCTCCTCACCCCGACGCCCCACCGACCCGTTCCCGCACACCTTCCGCCTACCTCTTCTCGGTCGCTTCAGGACAAAGCAGGGCAGCCTTCTCTCTTCACCAGTGGTGTAACGGTGCGGTCCTCTTTTCTCACCGAGAGCATGGCTTCTCCTCACTACCGCTCCACACGCGAAGAGCGCTCTCTCCTCTTTAGCTCCTCCTGTGTGTGGTCCGACCGCTACCTGGCGGTCTCTCAGGCCGAGTTAGCGCGACACACCGTATTCCTGAGGCAAGGCGAGAGCTAGCTGGAGAGTCTCGACCAAGAGAGATGACCTGGCAGGTCCGGGCACCTCCTGCACCGCGCGACTAGAGGACAGCCTCGCGGAAGGAGCCGAAAGCCGAACCCCTCAGGCCACAGACTGGGGGTCGTGCCGAGGGGGTGCCTCTGGGAGAGTTCCTCAGTGAGCGAGCAGGGGGCGGGGCCGGCGTGGGGGCGTGGGGTGCCGGAGGAGGCAGGGCCTGGAGGCGTGGGAGGCGGGGCCAGCAGGCGCAGAGAGAATCACTCACTGGGCAGGCGGGAGATGGGGCCGGCGCAGCGGGGCGGGGCCCGGAGGCGGGAGAGGCGGGGCCGGCAGGCGCAGGGAGGGACCCTCATTAAACAGGCGGGAGGTGGGGCCGGCGCAGAGGAGTGGGGCGGGGCCTGCGGAGCAGGCGGGTCCCTGAGGCCGGGGAGGCGGGGCCAGGCCAGAGCTGGGACAGTCCCTCAATGGGCAGGCGAGAAAGTGAGGTCGACAGAGTGGAGCGGGGCGGGGCCGGCAGGAGTAGGAGGGGTCGGGGCCGACTCAGAGGACCCGCCGGCTACTTGGTTCTGTCCCAGGTGGAGGTGGCCTGAGGCACTTGGTTCCCTCTGCTCGCGTAGCTCTGGCGGAGTCTGCGCGATGGGAGACGCGGAAAGGCCGGAAGCGTCCAGGCCCCAGCAGGAGGAGGTAAACATTGCTGCTGCTTCCTCTCCCGCCCCCAGTCACGACTGGCCTCTAGATTGCGGGTTGCGGCGGGGACCTGCAAGGTGCAGGAGCGCTGTGAGAAATTTTATTCATTGCCTTCTGAAACCTGGTGTCGGCCCGGCTTCGAGTCGTCGCTGCAGACGGGTTTCGTCTTTTCGAGCGCCCGGGAGGCAGTCCCCGGGGAGGGGTGAGGAGCGAGCCGGGTTTCTGCTCCACTGCTCTGTTCCGGGGCTACCCAAAGGCAATGCTCTGAGACTTCAGACCGGGGCAAGGCGCACCCCCCCTCCCATCCTTCCCTGTTCTGGAGCCCTAGCCGGGGAAATTGAGGCAAGGGCCGAGGACTGGTGGCTCTGCTAGAGAAATGCATGCCATCTCTGGGATCGGTAAAAGGACTTGGAAGGATGCCTGTGGAAATTGACACAGGTGGATGGGGTGGAGATGATAGGTAGAATGGCGTCGGGAAATCCTCATTAACAATGAAATGATCAGGTTAGGAGGCCAGTTTTCTCAGACCCGGCTAAACTAGCTGTGAATCTTTGGGTATCACTATCTTCGTTTATATGGTGGAAATGATACTTCCTTCACAGAGAATTAAGTAAAATGCTTTATGCAAAGTGCCACAGAAGTTGTGGGTGCTTAATAAAAACCTTAGTTAACGTGTTCATCTTCTCTGCTTCTATATTAGTAGAGGTATATAGCAACAGTAAATAAGCTGGGATTCATTAGATTGTAGGGTTGTAGGGTAGTTCAAATTGTTGCACTATAATTTTCATACCCTGTTATTCTGTAAATACTTCTAAACCTGTTGCTGTGTGTGGTATCTGATTATTTTAATAGAGTTTCAGTCACAGAGACACTTGCTTGGCCCTACATTTCTTCAGAAAGTTGTAGATTCCAGATTTGGGATTTTATTTTATTTTGACTTTGTAAACATTTAGTAGCTAGTTAACAAATTGTAAATAGCCCTCAAACTTTTTCTTCCCCTCTTGAAACAAATATATTTAGTACCAATTTCCCCACTGTAATGGGACAACTCAGATATTTTTGTTTGTGCTAGTAGTACCAAGACTTATTGAGATTTAAGACCTGGAAGTTAATTTTTATTTATTATCCCTATCTTGATACAGACCCACAAAGACAGAGGCAGTACTTTAGATATAGAAATAATTTTAGTGAGCACCTCTTCCACAGTTTTTAACTCGAAATGCAAGGGTGCCTTAAGTACTTTTTTTCTCTAGATATATTGGTGCAGCATGGGCCACCTGCAGCAGAATCACCTGGAAAACATTGTAAAAAATGTAAATTACTGGGCCTATGCCCCAGATGTAGTGAATCAAAATCTCTTGGGATGGGTCTGGGACTCCATTTTTAACAAGCACTTCAGGTGATCCTGGTACACATATTTTAAGAACACTGCCTTGAAGAGTTTATACCTTGAAGGGGGTTTATGGCTCTCCTGAAGTTTGTAGACTTTGTATGTGCAGCTGTGAATCTCCTGATAAAGGGGGTTCAAAGTTTTTATAGTTTCTCAAAATTAACTATCATTAATCTAATTGATAGTCCCTATTTTCAAGGTAAGAAAGTTTAGGCCAGAAAAGATGAAATGATATGCCCAGGACCACACAAATCAGTAGCAGAGCTAGGTTTAAAACCAAGTTCTCATTCCTAGGCCAGTATTCCATCTGTTTTATTAGATTTGGTGGGAATAGGAAAATGAAAACACCTACAAATAGTGTATGGCTCTGACAGCATCCAAATATTCTACTTCACCTGAAGAATAGGAGAGAGGTGAAGGCAAGCAAATGAAAGTGGTGAAATTGGAGGTGGATGGGAGGGAGGGGCTGTGTAGAATGCCAGCCTAGATCAGAGCAGGGTGAGTGCTAGCTGGGGAATCTTGATCTAGATGGGTGCCCTAGCATGTCCTAGTAACTCTTGGGACCAGGTGACCAGAAACAGGAAGCACCATTCTGAAAAAGATGGTGGAATGTTGCCAAGGAATGACGATGAGAAGCTATTTCACATTCTCACTTAACACTTATGCAGTTACAACAAATTTATTTGTCTACTTCTGGTCTTACCTGCTGTCCAATCCTATTTACCACTGCCAAATTAATCCATCATTAAACCTGTGTCTCCGTGTCACTCCACTCAAATAAATACTCCCAAAAGGGTCTCAGTTCCCACCAAAACCTGCCCAGCTCCTCAGACTGGCAAAGTCCTGTTCAAGCAGCTTTTTCACGCTAACTGCCACATCTTAATTCAGGCTGTCATTTCTACCTCTGAAATCGACACTATAGTTGCTACCAAAATCTATGTTTTTTCTTTTCTAATTTAACCTACACAGGGATGTCCAATTTATCTTTCTCATGGCATCCCAATCCATGTTAATTCCTACCCAGAAACTCTCCATGACTCTCCATAGGAATGATTTTTTTTTTTTGGCCGTGCCGCGGGGCTTGTGGGATCTTAATTCCCCAACCAGGGATCGAACCCGAGCCCTCAGCAGTGAAAGTCTTAACCACTGACCACCAGGGAATTCCCAGGAATGATTTTAAACTGTGCTCCACAATGAATGCCTGTGAGGAGAGTTGAAGTCTCAGCCTCCCAGCCCCCCAGATATTTGAAAATCTTTGGCCCAGAAAACTCCAAACATCTTAGCCCAATTGAAATCCACAGTGTAGATCCTTTCTGTCTCATCTGTTGATCCTTGCTTTAGCCAAGTCAGGTCACTTCTACCTTTGCTTTACAACCATTTCAGCCAGTTTTAATCCCAGCTGGCTCTTCTTCCATCTGCCCTTTTTCTGTGAAGAGAGATAGTCTGCATTCTCAGCTGTGCTGCTGCTGCTCTATATGTTCTCCCTGAATAATCACATCCATCCTCTTGGCGACTACTCATAGATCTCCACTGAATTAGGAAGGAGGGAGGTAGTGCCTCCGCCTACTACCATAGTGTTATATTTTCAGCTGCCTTCTGGATATCTTGAAACTTGAGCCCATTATCTTTTTTATTGACCAAAGTGATTTTTTTTTTTTTCGGTACGCGGGCCTCTCACTGTTGTGGCCGCTCCCGTTGCGGAGCACAGGCTCCGGACGCGCAGGCCCAGCGGCCATGGCTCACGGGCCCAGCCGCTCCGCGGCATGTGGTATCTTCCCGGCGGGGCACGAACCCGTTTCCCCTGCATCGGCAGCGGACACGGCGCCACCAGGGAAGCCCGACCAAAGTGATTTTTAAAAGGCTTTTGTGTTTGTAACTTGTTATGGCTTGGGTTGGTGGGGGGAGTTAATTCAAATTAAGCTTTTGTTAAACATCTAATGTGAGAAGTAAGAGTTTTTGTCTGATTCAGTTATTCTCCAGGTGCTGAGCACTTTGAGTCTCTTATTTCTCATTTTGATCATCCAGTTGTTGGAGCTGGAAACCTCAAGGGCATCTTCAACTCTTCCTTATCCTGTTGTCCAGAATCCAAATTTTAGCAGGAATTATTAAATCTACTTTTGAATATCCCTTAAATCAATCTTTTGTGTTTCTGGAGCTGATATCCTCGTTCAGGCAAGAGATGGATAGTGCAATAATCTTTTCATTGTTATCTCCACCTCCAATTTCTCTTCTAATCTAGCCACATTTCTCCAAAAGTGATTATAAAACAAATCTGATTCTGTTCCTTACCTGATTAAAAACTTTCAATTGCTCCCAGTAGACTGCATGCTAAGGCCAGATGCCAAAGTGTTATATATCAAAGCAGACCACTTTGACCTGCTCCAACATTTTCAAAAAAATCAACATCTTAATATCCATTTAAAATGCAAAAAATAGGCGCATCCCCCTTAACCTCAGATAAAGCTTGGAGATGGAGTACGTATTTTAACAGCTGAAAGTTAAAAAATGTTTCGTTTGCTTCTTTTTGTCAAAATGATGACACTGAGTAAAAAAGAAATTGTCAAAATAGTTGTATCAAATGGCGATAGGAAAATAGTTATGGCAAAATTCATATATATTTACATTCAATGCCCTTGCATGGTTTAAAACCTGGGCCAATTTTCCAAACAAAATCATAAGTACAACACTAATTGATAAAATTGACTTTTGTCTATTAGTATAATTTTTTAAGTTAATATATATAACTTATATATATTATTATATATAAGTTAATTAAGTTAATATATATAACTTATATAATAATATAAGTTAATAATATAACTTATAAGTTATAATAATATTATATATTATTATATAATTAATTACATAATTAAATATATTAATAATTAATATATAATTATATATTGTATATAATTAACTATATTAATTGTTAATTAATTAATATATAATTAATATAATTATATATAATATGATAATATTATATTATTGTTATATATTATATATTAATATGTATAAGTTATATATAACATATATTATATATAATAAGTATAAATAATAAGTATAAAATAATAAGTATAAATAATAAGTATAAAATAAGTATAAAATAATAATATAACATATATATTATTATATATAATAAGTTAATTAAGTTAATATATATAACTTGTATAATATAATAAGTTAATTAAGTTAATATATATAACATATATAGTATATATAATATATTATATATATTATTTTATCATTACTTATAAAATCAATGGAATAGTAAGTCTGTTTTGATGAACCCATCACTTTAAATTGGTGTATAGATGATAGTTGAAGATTTATATCAAACTTAGTAAAGAATTACCTCGCGTATTTTTCAGAAGTTCTCTTAATTCACTACTGGCCAATTCTGTGGATTTATCAACCCTGTAAAATATGTGGATACCCGTAGCATTCAAAATGCATATGGCTAGTATGCTGCTGTCTGATGCACTCACGTACTTCTGTTGCCACCAGGATCAGCTGTCTTTATTTCCAGTGCTGTTTATACCAGTAGTACTTGTTTTGTAATGACTAATTAATTTATTCATTTTTGAATTATTTATTTATTTATTTATTTTATTTTTGGCTGCGTCTGATCTTAGTTGCGGAACACGGGATCTTTTGTTTTGGTGCGTGGGCTCTTCGTTGTGGCATGCAGGCTTCTCTCTAGTTGCAGTGCTTGGGCTCTGTAGTTTGCTGGATGCGGGCTCAGTAGTTGTGGTGCGTGGGCTTAGTTGCCCCATAGCATGTGGGATCTTACTTCCCCGACCAGGTATCTAACCAGTGTCCCTTGCAGTGGAAGGTGGATTCTTAACCACTGGACCACCAGGGAAGTCCTGTAGTGACTGTAATTTAATTAAATATGTGGAAACTAGTAATATGTGAGTATGAAAAGAAAGTTTTTTCTATGAAAACTTAAACTGAGAGCTTTGGAAAATTCAATAAACATGAATTATTAACAAATTCTGTAGAATTAGATGTAAGCAAACAAGTATAAAAAGATTGGGGAGAATCATAAAAGAGATAAGGATTTTGCACTGATATTGCGCTACCCTAAGTGTGTTAAAACTAGAAAGTATAGGTGTTGCGTTGTGCTGTCTTAATGTCAGAAAGTCTTGGGACTCCAATCAGTGTGACAACGACAACGTTTTGGCCTTATAGCAGAAGATTAGCAAATAAATGTAAATGTTTTAAGTGAAATCAAATAGTTTAAGGCATATATACTTTTCTTGTGATTCCTTAATTTAACCAGTTTTCAACTAACAGTTCTCAACTTCGAACAAGAGAGCTACTATTATGTTATTGTTACTATTAGCATTATTGTTTTTTTCCTTTTTGGTTGGTTTTGAAAAAAAAATCTTGGGTCACGCCTGAAAAATAGAGACAAATGTTTACAGGGTTTTTGTTGTTGTTGTTTTTAACTGCCTGTCTTTAATCTCGTGTTATTCTTCAGTTAAGCAGAGATAGCTAGAGAAACTTTCATCTGAGTTCATCCAAAAAAAAAAAAAGGACAACCTGGAAACACAAGTCCATGCATTAGTGGCTACCTTTCTGTATGGTATAAAACATTTCTGTCAGTTACTGTTATTACTGTTTTAAATTATTAAAAACATTTATTATTTTTAATTGAAGTATAGTTAATTTACAATGTGTTAGTTTACAGTGTACAACAAAGTGATTCAGTTATACATGTATATGTATTCTTTTTCAGATTCTTTTCCATTATAGGTTATTACAAGAGATTGAGTATAGTTCCCTATGCTATACAGTAGGTCCTTGTAAAAACACATTTTAGAGTGAAATTTTAAATCTAATGTTTGTGACACTAGAGGAACCACATAGTTCTTAAGAGCACACTTGGAAAAGTCATTGTGAAGTGTTTTCTGCCTTTCTGGTTTATCTTCTTCTGTCGTCCTCCACATACCATAAAGTCCAGATATAGAAAGTTACTTCCAATTCTTAAAAATGTCATATGCCATCATGCCTTTTTTCATATTGTTTTTTCTTCTAAAATATGGGTTCTTAGCCCACATCCACAGAGAATACCCTGCAGAGCCTAGAACTTTGGGATGTGTGGTTCTTCTGACATTGTTTTAAAATGTGTGTGGATTTTTCTTAGCTTCAGGAAAATAAGCAATATGTCATCTCTAACCCAGTTCAAAAGTCTATGTTCATGCAAGCCCCTCTCTTTACGTGGCAGTATCTCCTAATTCAGCTTCTTTTCTTAACAACCCTCCTAATTACAAGTGATGATGATCAGATTAAATGACTTGCCTAAAGACATGAATAATACTTTGTGCTTATTGTAAGTGAACACAATTTTGTACTTTAATGAACAGTGTAGAGTGAAATATGGTCATTTGGTTCACATTCTGCCGTAGAGGCGGCAATTTCCAAAGTGTTGATTTTCAATCTTATCTTTACTGTCTTATCATTCACCTGTGAAATACATCCTCATCAACAGCACACTTCAATGATCTCATTATACATAGTGATTTTAACCTGGTAAAGGAGAAGGCGAATGCATTTTGAGAAAGTTTTACTCTGAGATTTCTGAAGCTTGCACCAGTTAAAAATCACTGCTTTAAGCCTTATCGGTTTGGCTGGTAAGAACCAAAGGATCACTTTGGTTCTTTCAACTTTATTTATAATGAAATCATTTTTATTTTTCTTGCTTTTTCCTAAAATCAAATTTGGTGATTTCCTCCTCCTGTCATTTCACTGGTTACATCAGTACCATTTGTTAAATTAATTTTGCTTAGTAGGAGATATTTCAGTTGGCCCTTGAATAACCTGGGGGTTAGGGGCACTGACCCTTGGTGCAGTTGAAAATCCACATATAACTTTTCAGTTGGCACTCTGTATCCATGGTTCTGCACCCACTGATTGTCAACCAACTGTGGATGGAATAGTATTGTAGTTTTTATTGGAAAATATTCACATGTAAGTGGACCTGTGCAATTCAAACCTGTGTTGTTCAAGGGTTAATTGTAGTGTTTACTCTTTTTAACTTTAGTTATCTCACTGTTTTGAATTCTGGTTTTTAGATGTAGGCTGGCCCTACTAGCTGCCATCCATACATATGTATGGATGTAGTTTAAGGCAAGGCTTTGAGTTCAGACCTATCTCAGTTCTAATCTTATTTCTGCCACTTACCACTTGTGGGATCCTGGGTATGTTATTTATGTACTTCAAGACCTAGTTGTCTCATCTGTAAAATGGGAATACTGTTACTATTTGACTGACTTGTACAGATTAAGCAGAATAAGGTATATAAAGCATCTGTGTGGTGACAGTTCAAAAGCAGCCTCAACACCGGACCCAGAGGACATGGTCTTATGTGTATCTCCTGTTCTAGAGCCTGGAACTGCAGTGTCAGGATCTTACAGCTTTTTTGAGATTGCAGAGCCCTCAATGGCAACACAAACAAACAAAAAACTTGACCACTTCTGTTTCAAAAATTTGCTTAAATATTTGTGGAATGAATATTGAGTAAGTGCCAGGTAGTATGCTAGGCTCTAGGGATTCCACAAGTGTAAAGTTGGTTTTTGCTGTTAAGAAGCACGGTCTAGAAGAGACTGTAGAGAAGTAACAGGGAATTAAATTGCAGTGAGCTATGTGCTATGTTAGGCACCTAATCCAGGCCTTTGGTGTAGTGGGGGGAGGAGGAGATGTGAGGGCACTCAGAGGAGGCTTGCATTGAGTGGTTATTACACTAATGTATTGTGGTCTTATGTTAAATTTTTAAAAATCTAAAGGTATCCGGTAATCTGAGCACAAGGTAAAGAGAAATTAACAGCCCATTCACTTACTTAGCTAATGTTTATTGATGTTACACTTGACACAGTACTCTGGGAACACCACAATATATAAAAACTGGTCTCTGCTCTCTTGCTGATTATTAAAAATATACACACACACACACACACACATATATGGCACTGTCCCGTTTTAGAGTGCCATCCTCTTTCCAAGCAGTATGTATTTAGGTGTGTGTTTCTTACTTTATCCCATAGAGCTTTGAGACAGCCCCAGTGAGACCATATTGCAGTAAAGGAATGTTAACATGTAAATAGCAAAAACCAATTGGTACATGGGAAGGGTCAGACAAACAAAGGCTACTAAGTTTTTGGTAAGGAGTTTTCAGGTAAGTATTATAATTTCAGTTAATATTAGAAAAGAAAACATTAAAATTTAAAAAGTAGCTCATAACAGTAGCCTATTCATGCCAGCATTCTGTCTCTGTGAGAGGCACTGAAGGGGCATTTTGTCCACAACTTTAGAAATTTGTCCACTGTGACGTTTATGGGTCTAATTTTATACTTATCCTCAAAGTAACAATAATGGCAATAATATTTTGAGAGATTACTATGCACCAGGCTCTGTTTAAAACACTTTTAATCATCACAATTAACCTCTAAGGTAGGTATTATTTTACTGATGAGGAAACCAAGGCTCAGAGAAGTTAAGGAACTTCCTATAGCCACACAACTAAGCAAACACCATTAACCAGCTACCACATAACAGTAAGGATTCAAGCTGGGGACACTGGCTCCCAAAATGATGCTGTCTCCCGAAGTTCCCCAGATGTGTGTTTAGATGTGAATAAAGAGGAAATCTCTCCATAAAATGGGTACTTGTACTTTATTTTTCACAGAGGTTATCTTCAGATACCAACGAAAATGAAGCAAAGTCAAATGAAGAGCCACTCCTAAGAAAAAGTTCTCGCCGATTTGTCATCTTTCCAATCCAGTACCCTGACATTTGGAAAATGTATAAACAGGCACAGGCCTCCTTCTGGACAGCAGAAGAGGTAAGTAGCAGCACCGTCATCAGCAAACATGTTCTCTAGTGCAGTGTTCACATTTTCTGTTGCAGGACATTAAAAATGTTTAACTTACATTATAAGGTACATTGAATAAGATCAGTTGTATAAGATAATGTTTGAAATACAAATACTATTTGTACTAAATAGTACTAAGTACTAAATAGTACTAAATACTATTAGTACTAAATAGTACTAAATACAGGGTTCTGCAATGTTTTGTGTTTAGATTACTGTCTATAAACATGTTTTCTGCTGCAAAAATGTCATCTCAGTCTGCCAGAATTTTACCTCCAATATATTTCAGAACATTTTCCATTTTTAAACAGAGTTTTGGTTTGCTGTGACCAAATAAGACTAGTCTTTACTTATGGTTAGTGGAATAAATAAAATTGCAGCCATAGCTAAAGCATGAAATAGTGAAAGCCTTAGAGACCCTCCTTTCAGATGAGAGGCTTATCTGATGGTGCAGAAGGAGCTGTCACATGGGGAGTTTGCCTGGGCAGGGCACTCGCTTCTGAGGTGCTGGCCTGAATTCACAGTGCTCCTCCCAGCCTGGCCCTGCCCTCAGCCACATCAAACCTGGCACAGCTGTGCCAACAGACAGGACAGCTGTGGAATGTTTTCCTGTAGTGTGGCAATTTCCGCCTAGGAAATGAGTTGAACACAGCAAATCAGAAGACCCTCGCTGGTTTGGTAAAAGGGCAGTTGGTCATGCAAGCGGTTGCTCCATAGTCTGCAAATAATCATTGTCTTCATTTTTGAATATGATGGATGATACCTGTATAGCACTCTGTTCTCTGTGTGTGCATGTTTATCTATATAGATAGATATATCTACTTGTTTAGATATATTTGGATCTGTCTGTTTATTTATCTGTTTTTTGAGAAATTGACTCTTTACATATGCTGTTGAGAATGCAGACTCTGGAACCAGGCTGCCTAGGTACAAATCCTGGCTCTACCTCGTACTAGCTGTGCCACTGGCAAAGTTGCTCTGTGAAACCTCTCTGTGTATCCTCATCAGTAAATTGGGCTAATAGTACCTAGTTCTGGTTGTTAGGATTAATTAGATGTGTAGAATGTTACTTGGCATTTAGCAAGCACCAAATAAATGTAAGCTATTATTTTACACAGAAGGGGGGAGATTTATACTAGAAATCAGAAGGCGCCAATTTTTGAAGCTTCTGTTACATTGATTTTACCCACCTACCCATCTTTGTTATTTTATATTTGTTAACGTTATTAACATCTTTGTTATATTGTAGTTGGCATGTAGAGCAAAAAACCAACCCAAACCCAAACTCAGCATTTTCAAATTGGGCCATAGTGCTAGGCACACCTGACTGTCTCTAACTGTGATTTTTAGAAAGTTTTTTGTGAGATGTGGTTAAGAGAACAAACAGAGTACATAGGTGGCTTTTTCATTCATCATGTTAAAAAAGTACTTGTGATACCTGGGTTTTTTTAATTCATCAAAAAATTTCTTACATCTTTTAGGAAATGTAATATGTGTAGTACTATGACTTAAAAAACACTAATTTTTGAAAATTAAAATATAAAGTTGGTACATGTTTTATAGACAGCTGATAGATTCAAATACATAATTAATTGGGAAGTCAAACACATTTTTAGTTCCACATATTATTCATTTAAACAAATTATGTAAGTTACAGTTTAATCGACTCTAGACTTCATTGTTTTATCAGTGATTTAGCTTTATTCCTAAATATGCCTGATCATCGAAGCCTTGATTCAGAAGATAAAGTTCTGGTGTTTGGGTTTTTTTTTCAAAGCTACCCAGGCAGTTCTGTAAACCAGTAGTTTGTAATCAATCTTTAGATTGTAAAATTGAGAATTTATTCAAATGAGATAAAGCTGGGCGAAAAGTTTTACCTTTTAGGAATGGAAAATGACTAATGTAGGTAAGTTTAATATTTAAGAGAGAGCATATTGTAATATTAAAATTTAGTATCAGGAGTATAATACACAAAAACCAGGAAGATGTCAGTTAAACCCGAGTGAACTCTTAATAGAATAGGACATGATTTTTAGCTTACATATTTTAAAAGATGTATACAAATATTTCTTCTCTGCTCCATTGTATCCCCAACATTTAGCACAGTGTCTGGCATGTAGTTGGTGCTCAGTAAACATTTAAAAAATAAAGTAATGAGAAAAAGGACTTTGGAAAAGAACACAAATGATTGAAAGGATGAAACTTTAGTCTTTTTTTGGAATGGTGAAAGAGATTAGGGCTTTGTTAGAATAAATAAAAGAAGGACAAAAGACAATTACATATTGCAAATGTTTATGAGGTTATTATGAAACATACTTAAGAGATCTTCCTGAGACAAAATGATATCTACAAGGTACATTTAAAGACTATTTTACAATTGTAAATTTCACCAAACTCTAGAATACATTTCTATTAATTCCAAGGACTAGTTCTAATAAACATTTTCCAAAATATTTCTATTTCCAGAGGAAGCCATATCTATAAATTGTTTTAAAACCCAGATTGTTATGTGCCTGACATTACTTCTGGGTATAAAAGTAGATTAGTCAGCAGTAAGGTAGCAGCTACAATTGCTTAACAAGTGCCTAGTTATCTGTCTAACACAATGGTAAATATGTATAATATGTTAAAGAAATGGCTGCTGAAAGGCATTAGTTTATTCACCTCAGTTCCTTCTTGACTGTTTCTACTCTCTCCCCATTTTGCCCCTTCCTTAATTGCTTCCAGATTTTGGCTTTCCCCCAAGCTTTATTGATATAGTTGACATATAACATTGTGTAGGTATAAAGTGTACAACGTATTGCTTTGATACACTATGTATGGCAAAATGATTACCACCATAGTATAAGCTAACACCTGTGTCCCATCACATAGTTACCATTTCTTTTTTGTGGTGAGAATAGGTTAATTTTAATATTTTGAAAGGACATCCTGGCCAGCTTCTCAATTAGCTAGAAGATAGATGTCTTCATAATGTTTTAATTTTGTTCTGTTCCTTTGTAATTTTCTTAGTTTGAGCTGCTATAATAATATCATAGAGTAGATAGCTTGCAAACAACAGAAATTTATTTCTCACAGTTTTGGAGGCTGGTGATTCTAAGATCAAGGTGCCTGCAGATTTGATATCTGGTGAAGGCTTGCTTCCTGTTTCATAGACAGCTGTCTTCTTGCTATGTCCTCACATGGCAGAAGGGGCAAAGGAGCTCTCTGAGGTCTCTTTATATGGGCACTAATGCCATTCATGAGGGTGACCTAATCACTTCCTAAAGGCTCCACCTCCAAATATCATCACATTGAGGATTAGGTTTCAATATGGACTTTGCGGGGACACAAATACTCAGTCTATAGCAAGAATGATGAAATTTTTTTCTTTTTCACATTTTACTGCCAATGAGATGTCCCACCTTAACTTTGAAATGGAAGTCAGTTTTCCATACTTTGAGAAGAATTTAAGTTAAAACTTTCGAAAATCTTTTTATTTCAGGTTGATTTATCAAAGGATCTCCCTCACTGGAACAAGCTTAAATCAGAAGAGAAGTATTTTATCTCTCACATCTTAGCCTTTTTTGCAGCCAGTGACGGAATTGTGAATGAAAATTTGGTAAGATTTTTGTTTCCACTTTTGTTCTCATTCAGCAGTTAAATGATAGTAATGGTGGTAAGATAATCAGACTGAGTCTGAAAAATGATGTCTAAGAAATGAACTTAACTCTTGAAAACATTTTTTCTGATGAAGTGTCAGAGGCAAGGATACATTTCTGTTATTTGAACCCCCAAAATATCATGAAATCAAGCATATTGTACCAATCAAAACTACTTACAAGGCATAAGCATGAGTTTGATTTTACCCTTAGATAGTAATCCTAATAGAGAACCTGCACCTTAATAATCTTTCCAGAGCTCTGCCATAGAGCACTGGGTCTGGCTTCCCATTTTTAAACTTCTATTATGGTTGGTTAGAAGACATGCTTTCTTATTAAAAAGAATGGGAAGATGCAAACTTTCATTATAAGCTTGTAGGGGCTTCAGTAGATCTAATTAAGGTCAATTCTACAAAGCAAAATAATTATTTTTGGTAGATGTTCTAAAATTTATTTGGCTTTATAGGCAGTATCTCCACCTAATAGGTCAGTTTATTTAATTGCTTAAGAATATAGTATGCAACTAATTGTGGAGGGTTGATGGATTAAGTAGTACTGCTTAAAATAATTCATAAGGTCTTTCTGACCTGTCTGTGGCATGACAGGTGATTTTTAAGTGGTAATTCTGATGTCCAGATTCTGATTTGCAGTGTTTAATGAGAGCCCATAGAATTGGATATATTTGTTTCCCTTATCTTCTTAGGTGGAGCGCTTTAGTCAGGAGGTGCAGGTTCCAGAGGCTCGCTGTTTCTATGGCTTTCAAATTCTCATCGAAAATGTTCACTCAGAGATGTACAGTTTGCTAATAGACACTTACATCAGAGATCCTAAGAAAAGGTATTACTGCTGGGATTTTATTTACAAAGGTTTATCCTATTGCTTGATTATGTTAATATTAAGGAACTAAATATTAGGGAAAGATTATTCAAATATGGAAGTTTAGGAGTACAATATTTTCTATTGCTTAATAATGTGTTAGATTAAAAAAAACTTGTATAGGACCAGTAAATCTTTGGATAGTATATCTTAAAAAACTGTTCACACACTGTTCTGTTTAGAAATTAAATATTCTAATTTAGTCAATTTTGTATAAGACCAGATCCAAAGCACTAATTTGAGTTTTACTTTCACTTCTATATTTTATGGACATGCAAAAATACAGAAAAACTACAGGTCTGTTGCATACCATAGAATTGCATAGAATCAAATATAGTCTGATTAAAAACAAGTAAATTGGAGATTCCCTGGTGGTCCAGTGGTTAGGACTTGGCACTTTCACTGCTGAGGGCCCGGGTTCAATCCCTGGTCGGGGAACTAAGACCTGCAAGCTGTGTGGCGCAGCCAAAGATAAAAAAAAAAAAAAAAAAAAAAAAAAAAAAAAAAAAAAAACTTTGCCATTAATCTTTTGTTTTTACAGGGAATTTTTATTTAATGCAATTGAAACAATGCCATATGTTAAGAAAAAAGCAGATTGGGCCTTGCGATGGATAGCAGATAGAAAATCTACTTTTGGTATGTAGCTTTAATTTATATATGATCAAATTAGCCTTGGGTTATACAATGCTATTTTACATGGTGTAGTATCACTATTCCTAAGAATTAATTCGAAACTGGTGAAAAATAATCTAAATCTATTATCTATTCTGTTTATTAAATTGAAAGTTGAGAGGTTAAATGTCAGCGCATAATTACAGGTAAATAAGAATCAGTCACATAGACTCTGACAAGAATATTAGAGCAAGACTATATGCTTTCAGTAATGTTTATTTTCCCTAAAATAAAGCAAGTCAAAGTCTTAACATTTTTCAGGGAACAAATATGTCAATTAGTGCACTCAACTAAGGCAAGAAACAGTTTGCAATAACAGGCTTATTTTTCACAGATAAGTTAAACACAAACACCCTTTTGGGTGAGTTGAGATCCAATAACATTTTTTTACGGAAGCGATTAACATTGTTTCTTATAATATAAATATTTATTACATTTAATTAAAATATTCAGATATTTAATTTAAATAGCTCTAAGTACCTTTCTTATTTATTTCACAATTGGTTGTCTTTACTTTCTGGTTTTATTCATCATGTGGGGAAAGAGGTCTCAAAATTTTTGGTCTAAGTACTCCTTTGCACTCTTAAAAATTATTGAGGACTGGTTATATCTATTGATATTTTCATATTAGAAATTAAAGCCGAGAAAATTTCAAAATATTTAATTATTAATGCATATTAAATTAACAGTAATAACCCATTGCAGTTTGAAATAAATAATGTATATTTATGAAAAGAAACACTGTATTTTCCCAAAAAATTGGAATGGCCTAGTTTTGGCCATTCCATTCTCACTGGAATGAGAATGGCCTAGTTTTTTATTTTTGCAAATCTCTTTAATGTCTGACTTAATAGGAGGATAGCTGGATTATATCTGCTTCTGCATTCAATTTGTTGCAGAATGTTGTTTTGGTTGAAGTATATAAAGAAAATCCAACCTCCTTCAGATATGTAGTTAGAAAAAGGAGAAGTATTTTACCAGGCTTTTCAGATTGTTGTGAATATGTTGTGTAGCCTTTGGAAAACACCACTGTATATTCATGAGAGAATGATGGTAAAAAAGATAAATAGTGTCTTATTATTACTATGAAAATAGTTTTGACTTCACAGACCTCCTGGGTCTGTGGATCTCCAGGGATCCCTGGACCACACGTCAAGAACCAGTGATGTAGTGTAAGATATGGGCAAGATGTAGTGTATCAGGGAAGAAACATATATGTCTGCATTGCTTTCAGTTCATTTCAAGAATGAGAAAAGCAGTGATTCTCAGTGTGCATAAAATCATCTGGAGAATTTGTGGAAAAATCCTGCCGATTCCTGGTCCTCACCAGAGAGTGATCTGCATTTTATACTCAGCTGATTTTCTCACAAGTGGATTGAGAAGCACATTTTGAGAAACATTGGCTTTAGAGAAAAACAAAGGGAAACGTCAAGGTGTTCAATATGCACTGAAAAGATTAGTGTGGATAGAAAATGATGGACAGGCTCACAGAAAGCATGTCTTTCATGATACTACCAAAGAAGTAACCTAGAAATAGAGAAAATAGAGGAGGGTGGCAGTCATCCTGTGACAATCTGCTTAGTTTTTTTAAAAAGTGAGATATACTGCTTAGTTTTTTAAAATATCTTTAAAGAACTTTAAAACATTAAATATATAGATTCAACCTTAATATACGTAATGAAATTACATTTCAAACATCAAAATAAGTATGAGTTACACAATCTTATTGCATTGTATCATAGAGGTTAGCTGTATCTTAAAAATACATCCTACTTTCCTATCTAAAATCATGAGGCCTTTACAATTCGTTATAGCTTTTAGAAGAAATGTTTTGGAACATTTGTAGCTCACATCTATTCTTGAAAATTTGTAAAATTTACCCCTCATAATCCTTTAATCTTCTCCAAAAAGAATAGCCTTCTATAATTATTTCTGTTATGATTTTCATTCTGTAGCATTCATGTGAATGCATAGAATAGTTAAAATGACAATGTTCCTCTTATTCAAAGTTTGTATAAAATTATAGTCTAGTTCCCTTATAGATGAACATTCACATGACATCACATTTATGTCAATTAAAAATGAATCAGTTATACCTATTATCTTATTAATAGCAAGATGAAAATATAGTAATCTATGTTAAATTAATGATAACTCTCCATCCTAAAACAAATAAGTCACTAGTCTAAAGAGCTATTTTTGTTTTCAAAAGGGTCAACAGAGCATAGTGTTCAAACATACATGTATGTACATATTGCATTCACAAACACGTACCTGCAAAAAAAAAAAACAAACACGTACCTGCACTCACAGGCATGTGTGGTGCACAGATATATCACCTCATTTTTGCGTGTGGAAGGCTCTCCTTTGTCCACATTCCAAGACCTGCAGGAGTCCAGTGTTGGACCTAAGACCTGAAGTTGACATACCTTTCTGCTCTAGTAGGTAGAGGTGGCAAACTTCCTCCTCTGAAGACTTGGCCACAGCACTAACTTGTTGATTGTGTTTCTTGGCAAAACAGTTGTGATATTATTATTAAAAAATATATGTAAAAGTATATATTATACATATATAAGCTTGAAAATGTCTGCAGTATATGATATTTCAGAAAGTGAGACTATTTTTTGTCTCCCAGGGGAAAGGGTGGTGGCCTTTGCTGCTGTAGAAGGAATTTTCTTCTCGGGATCTTTTGCTGCTATATTCTGGCTAAAGAAAAGAGGACTTATGCCTGGACTTACTTTTTCCAATGAACTCATCAGCAGAGATGAAGTAAGGAATGAAGTATTCTTCTACTTATATTTGTAATCATAGCTGCTGTTCATTTATTTTTCCTTCTGCTGAAAATACTTATGGTGACACAAATATCCTGTTAATTAAAATAAAACAGGAAGTCATTTCTTCCTTGGATTTTAAGAATCTGTGTTTTCTTCCTACCTCTCTTACTGTTCCTCCTCAATCTCTGCCCATCCTTATGTACCAATGTACTCCTGGGTTCCCACTTTGGTCGCTCTCCTTCCCTATACATGACCTCCTGGCTGATCTTATTTATTCCCATGGAATCAGCTGCCACCTAGATGCTCATAACAATTAAAACTTTATCTGTAGCCTGGTTATTCTTTCCTGAGCTCCAAACCCATAAATTCAAGTGCATGATAGACGTTTTCTCCTGGAAGGCTCCACAGATATCTCAAACCTAGTATCAAGCTCATCATCTTTCTCCTGAAATGTGTTCTTCCTGTTTTCTCTGTCTCATTGAGTGCCTCTACCTTCTACCCAGTCATACGAATTTGAAATTTGGGAGTCATTTTAGATTGCTTCTTCTTTTTTTTTTTTTTTTTGCTATATCCAGTCAGTCACTAAATCTTGTCTCCCTCTATCTGCAACACTCTTTCCATCTTTTCTACCATTTTTGTTTTCATCTGTTGATTACCTTCTCACAAGTTGCCACTTAAAACTTTCCTACCCCAATTAGATAAAACTGACCACTCTTTGCTCTATGTATTCCTTTGAAACCTGAACTTGTCCCTACCTTAGAGTCCATAACATGTATTGCACTTCTTTTTTTTTTTTTTTAACATCTTTATTGGAGTTTAATTGCTTTACAATGGTGTGTTAGTTTCTGCTTTATAACAAAGTGAATCAGTTATACATATACATATGTTCCCATATCTCTTCCCTCTTGTGTCTCCCTCCCTCCCATCCTCCCTATCCCACCCCTCTAGGTGGTCACAAACCACCTAGCTGATCTCCCTGTGCTATGCGGCTGCTTCCCACTAGCTATCTATTTTACGTTTGGTAGTGTATATATGTCCATGCCACTCTCTCACTTTGTCACAGCTTACCCTTCCCCCTCCCCATATCCTCAAGTCCATTTTCTGGTAGGTCTGTGTCTTTATTCCCGTCTTACCCGTAGATTCTTCATGACATTTTTTTTTCTTAGATTCCATATATATGTGTTAGCATACAGTATTTGGTTTTCTCCTTCTGACTTACTTTACTCTGTATGACAGACTGTGGGTCTATCCACCTCACTACAAATAACTCAATTTCGTTTCTTTTTATGGCTGAGTAATATTCCATTGTATATATATGCCACATCTTCTTTATCCATTCATCTGTTGATGGACACTTAGGTTGCTTCCATGTCCTGGCTATTGTAAATAGAGCTGCAATGAACATTTTGGTACATGACTCTTTTTGAATTATGGTTTTCTCAGGGTATATGCCCAGTAGTGGGATTGCTGGGTCATATGGTAGTTCTATTTGTAGTTTTTTAAGGAACCTCCATACTGTTCTCCACAGTGGCTGTATCAATTTACATTCCCACCAACAGTGCAAGAGTGTTCCCTTTTCTCCACACCCTCTCCACCATTTATTGTTTCTAGATTTTTTGATGATGGCCATTCTGACTGGTGTGCGATGATATCTCATTGTACTTTTGGTTTGCATTTCTCTACTGATTAATGATGTTGAGCATTCTTTCATGTGTTTGTTGGCAATCTGTATATCTTCTTTGGAGAAATGTCTATTTAGGTCTTCTGCCCATTTTTGGATTGGGTTGTTTGATTTCTTGTTATTGAGCTGCATGAGCTGCTTGTAAATTTTGGAGATTAATCCTTTGTCAGTTGCTTCATTTGCAAATATTTTCTCCCATCCTGAGGGTTGTCTTTTCATCTTGTTTATGGTTTCCTTTGCTGTGCAAAAGCTTTAAGTTTCATTAGGTCCCATTTGTTTATTTTTGTTTTTATTTCCATTTCTCTAGGAGGTGGGTCAAAAAGGATCTTGCTGTGATTTATCTGATAGAGTGTTCTGCCTATGTTTTCCTCTAAGAGTTTTATAGTGTCTGGCCTTACATTTAGGTCTTTAATCCATTTTGAGTTTATTTTTGTGTGTGGTGTTAGGGAGTGTTCTAATTTCATACTTTTACATGTACCTGTCCAGTTTTCCCAGCACCACTTATTGAAGAGGCTGTCTTCTCTCCATTGTATATTCTTGCCTCCTTTATCAAAGATAAGGTGACCATATGTGCGTGGGTTTATCTCTGGGCTTTCTATCCAGTTCCATTGATCTATATTTCTGTTTTTGTGCCAGTACCATACTGTCTTGATTACTATAGCTTTGTAGTATAGTCTGAAGTCTGGGAGCCTGATTCCTCCAGCTGTTTTTCTTTCTCAAGATTGCTTTGGCTATTCGGGATCTTTTGTGTTTCCATACAAATTGGGAAATTTTTTTGTTCTACTTCTGTGAAAAATGCCAGTGGTAGTTTGATAGGGATTGCATTGAATCTGTAGATTGCTTTGCGTAGTAGAGTCATTTTCAGAATGTTGATTCTTCCAATCCAAGAACATGGTATATCTCTCCATCTATTTGTATCATCTTTAATTTCTTTCATCAGTGTCTTATAATTTTCTGCATACAGGTCTTTTGTCTCCTTACATAGGTTTATTCCTAGATATTTTATTCTTTTTGTTGCAATGGTAAATGGGAGTGTTTTCTTAATTTCACTTTCAGATTTTTCATCATTAGTGTATAAGAATGCCAGAGACTTCTGTGCATTAATTTTGTATCCTGCTACTTTATCAAATTCATTGATTAGCTCTAGTAGTTTTCTATTGCACTCTTGTCTCTCTCCTCTACTGGACTCAAGTTCCTTGAGTGCAGAAGCCTTGTCATTTATCTTTGTGTTCTCAGTGTTAGACCATTATAGCCATTTGGGTCACATTGATTGACTAATCCTGGCTCCTCAGCTTATTTCTAAAGAGACCTTGTCAAGTTACTTAACTTCTCTGAGCCTCAGTTTCTTCAGTTATACACCTTAACAGGCTTTTGTTAAAATGCAATGAAACAATATGTAAAAGTACTTTTTGGGAATCCCCTCATAGTCCAGTGGTTAGGACTCTGTGCTTTCACTGCTAAGGGGGAGCAGGTTCAATCCCTGGTTGGGGAACTAAGATCCTGCAAACTGCATGGCATGGCCAAAAGAAAAAAAAATGCTTTGTATAATTACTTTGTGTTGTTTTGTGTCTTTAAATTTCTAATAATTTTTATTATTAATGTTATATATGATTATTATAGAGAATTAAGAGAATAAAATCATTCAGTCTCAACACGCAGAGATAGCCACCTTCCATATGTTGTATTTCCTTCTGGACAATTTCCTACATTTAAACCTATGTAAATATATACAAACATATTTTTATAATTTGAGATATTCTGCGTTTTTCATATTTTTTTGAGCTAAGATCATCTTTTTTCACTAAGCAGAATATTATGAACATTATTCTATGACATTAAGCATTTTTCAGAAACAGTTTTGTTAGATTATATATTACATATCCTAATGAGTACATGTATCATTTATTTGGCTATAAGTAGAAATTTAGGTCGTTTCCTGGTTTTTTGTTTGTTTGTTTTGCTATAATGCAAAATGACTATCTTTGTATATAAGCTTTGTCTCAATTTCATACTATTTTCCTAAGGTAGATTCCCTAGAAATAAAACTACTAGAGTATAAGGCATGAACATTTTAAAGGCCATCATACTCACTTGCAGATTTCTTTCCAGAAATCAGATAACAATTTGTAGCCCCGCCTAACAATATATGAACATGTCTTTTCTTACTATACCCTTACCAGATTTACTTGTTAAATATTGGATAAATTTGATAGGAGTAGTTAGTATCTCATTATTAGTTTTAGTTGCATTTATCTGATTACTGCTTAGATTGAACATTGTTTTCATAGTGATACTAGTCATTTGTCTTTTTTTCTGTAGTTACCTGTTCTGGTCTTTTGCTTTTATTACCGTCGGTATATATTCCCAATGCACAGTAACTGATTGGGCTCTTTCAATAAGTATTTGTTTATTGAGTTTGTTATATTTATCACATGAATATAATATAAAATATGAATTTTGTTATATTTACTGCAAATATTTTCCCAGTTTGTCGTTTGCTTTTTAATTTTGTTTGTTCTTTTTTTTTGGGGGGGGGGCGAAGTAGAAGAGGATAGCTTTATTTCTTTGCTAGGCAAAGGGGGACACAGTGGGCTCCTGACCTCGAAGAAAACTACATTTCTCTGTTCGAATCTGCCCTTTGGAACTCAGGGAAGGTCATGGAGGCTGGAGTCTTGCCTACAAGAAATGGGGGACAAAAGGGCCTCCAAGCCTGGGAGCCCCAAAGGGCCTCACTCAGTTTCACTCCACCCTTTTCTTTGATATTCCTCAATCTTGAGGACAGATATTGGACAAGAAAGGGAACAATCATTTTGGATAGAGATGTTAATCATAAACGGAGGAACCCTGTTTTAGGAAGACTTGGTTTTAATCCTTACTTCGGTTTTTATCTTTCCCCAAATCTTTCAGGGAAGTGGGTGATGACTGTTCTGACTACTTCCTGCTCAGATGGGGCATAGTCCTGCCTAATTTTGGGGCAATAGATAACAAATTAAACATATTTGAGTTCCACATCCTGGATCCGAGTCTTATATGATTAAGATCTCAATTCCTTGGTCCGGTTAGAGGTAAGAGTGACGACTGGAACTTTAGTAGACAGAATGGATCTCATTCCCTTAGGAATTCAGGATAGGTCTGAAGGCCAGTTTGGAACTGGTACTTAGGAGAGACTTGTTGTAGCCAGTTGTTTCCAAACTATCCCTTGTATGGTGAAAACCCATCAAGGCAATCCTGAAGACCTGGAAATAGGAAGCTGACCACATATCTAGCCGTTAGAATTATCGAAAAGAATCAGCATATGAATCTATAGGTAGAAG